TTTTTTAATTAGCTTTACTCTCACTACTCCAGTTTTGGTAGTATAGTATCACCCTTCCAAGCAAGTACCCAACACCATTCCACATTAGAACTTATGCGCATGATTTATTGATCATCCTTCCAAGCAAGTACCCCACAAGTTGGGTATAGAGATGTTGGTATTGCCGAATATGAAGGTGATAGGATGTTGGTATTGCCTCCGAGTCACCCCAACCAGAAGACTTACACACATGATCTTCTACTGCCTAGACCTTCTGTGACGCTGCTGTCACACGTAATGCCTTCACTCCACAATCTGGTCTCCTTCTGGAACTTCTTATTCTGGTTTCATACTGCACTTGGACTCTCCACAGGGCTTCGCATCCGATTATGGCCCCCGTAGGTTACAGAAACAAATTAAATTTGCCTCCAGCCCAAATCGAACCATTGACCTTGTCTGTGGGGGTTTGGGAGCTTAACCAATAAGCTATGGGACCCAAACGTGAATCTTTTTAATGGAATATAATTTAAATAAAATTATAGTAAAATAATTAAATAGAAAAATTTTACAAACAAATAGCATGTGCATATATAAGTATTCGAAAAAGTTATATGGGTTTAAATTCAACGAACAACCTTGAGCTACTAAGGGTATGTAGGTTTAGATTTCAACGAACAATATTGCTTTACTAAGAGTATACAGATTTAAATTTTAACAAACATCGCTAAGTTTTAAGAGAGATCATGATATATTCTTGTCCATTTGGAAAAATAAATATACACTACGGTTTCAGAGGTAGGATGAGTAGCGACAAAATTTTCTAGTTAAAACATCTAAAATTATTTAAAAAACCAAAATATTAACATTCAGTTTTGTTGAATAGTTAAGCAGACACTTACATTTTAGTAGTCCAATCTACTTCCAGGTAAAACCTCAATATTATTTCGATTATTAGTGTAGTACAAGCACTGTATCTCCAAATATTGCAAACTATAGTATATACAGAATATATTAATATATATCTTGCAATTACTATTAAATAATCGTAATAGCTATTTCGCCCTTCTTGCAACGAGCTGTTCAAAGCATTTTATCCCAATTTTTTTGATATAATGTTATAATTTATAGAATAAAAACTCTGTCGTTAATAAAAAACTAAATATATACTTAAATGTCTGTAAAAAAAAAATTATTCCGGAGATATTCATGATTTGAAGTGTTATGTTGTTGCAAAGAACATCTTGCTTTACAATTGTGAACAAATGAAACGACTAGTGACCATGATACAATTGATATCAGATGAATTCTTTCTTGAGAATTATTGCAAATATGTTGAAGGCGATATATAGGGTTTCCAATAAATCATCGTATTTTTTAAGATCTTCTAACTAATTTAAATAAATGAACACGTAAGTTTGATTATCATTCCATATATGTTTAATAATTCCTTTGACAACGCTGAATTCAGATTGTTGCTTATTAGGTAATGTTGTTTCAATTATTTCACCAACAACGCCAAATTTTACATGTTGATAGTGTTATAATATATGAAACATTTTGGTAGTAGCTAATCTTTGAATTTAATAAAGCTTGTTCCAAAGAAAAGTATGAAGAATATGCTCTGATGATATTTTCTAAAAGTCTGTTAGTTCTAAGATCTGCAGAAATAAATCCGGCATTTTTGATTTCACATTTATTCTATTTTGACTCGAGCTTAATTTCAGAACAGTCGAAGTGCAAAAACCATCATTGTCGGAAAAATTATCTAGTAATAATATTAATAAGTTTTATTAAAAATAAACAAAATTGTATTGCATGACATCATTAAATAATTGCTATCTTGGGAGGTTTTTGTTTTTTTAAAAAAAAACATACAAAAATATACAACATAATAACATTACCTTGATCATACTCTTGTGAAGTATGTATTGAAAAATTACTAATATCGATACACCATCCTGACAATAAGTGACGGAACTTTGGTTCAATAAATAGATCTTTAAATATGGTCATATCAGTATTGTTAATTTGAACACCGTCTACTAAATATCTTAACATTTGTAAAGTATTGATTTGACAGAGTAATGTAAGCTCAAGATCATGCTTATTTGTATGTAGTATGATCTATTTAAAAATTCAATGCACCATTTTCTTCATTCCGACCGCTGTATTAATGCATGTTGAATATTGGCGTGCATGATCTACTATATGCTGATTAATATGTAGATTCGGAAGATTTTGAAAGTTATTTGAAAATAGCTTAAAATGATTAAATAAATTGAAATTAATCTTTATGCATAAAAAATTAAATCTAAAAATAAAAAAAAATTACATTAATTAACGTTCTAAGTTCTTTGTCCAATGCTTTTTGAAGCTGGATATATCCATCCGTTCTATTAATTGCTAAAGAAAAGGCTTTTTTACTGACTTTTGCAGATAGACCCCAGGCCCGAATCAGATAATTTATAATATCAGTTTGGCAAGAAAAACTTAATTGAATTTTTGTTTTTTCTAAAAAATTATTTTTTATATCATTAGTTTTTAAAAAATGTTTTAATATAAAAGAAAATATCATCAAAATCCGTAAAATATCAGACATCATAAATGAATGTCTATGCAAAATTAGATTTGGTAAATGCAACCATTTTGATGGTACATCAAAATGTTTCCAATATTTAATTAAATTATTTTCTCTTTGAGGTGTTGAAATAAGACAAGTGCAATCAAGGAGTCTTGCAGCTTTCCTGCAATAGCATGATATACATCTTGCAGGGTATATTGATAGCGATCATGAAGAATAGGGTCTAGTGGGCTTGGTAATAATCGCAACTCATATTGTGAACAAAGTCGTGATCGTGTTGTCTTTGTTAATTGTTCACTTATATGCTGAAATTCTTGATTGGTTATTTGATAATAACGACCATTAAAATATATATCAAATGAAAGATCAGTTAGTTTATCTTTTGGAGCTTTACAGCTATGATACCCTAGATTTGCATTATGCTGTAAAACACCTGCAATATCATTTTCCTGCGGCAAATCTGCCGTAGCCATAGCTAGCTCACCCGAAACCCAACAGTCAACACCATTTATGTTCATTATAAATCTTTGTTCTAGTTGATGAATTTCATTAATAATAACTTTAATAAAGTCTTTAAGACTTCCACCAAAAGGCACTAGCCCAATTATGAAATGATTCCTTAGCCATTTTCTTAATCGTCGCGGCATATTTCCAACCTGTAGATAAACTCTACCCAAAGAATAATAAGTATTACGAAAGGTTCCAAAATCGTCATAATATAGGTCTAAATAAAATTTAAGAACTGGCAAATTTGTATTTGTTGGCAATTTGATGGGCAAACATTCAGCTGGATGTTGGTGGCGTAGTTTTATTGAACGAAGCTTCCATTGACCACTATAATTATATAATATTTGATTTACAAAAAAATCAAATATAGGTGAAGCAGGTTGGTCTTGTAACCAAATGTTAAGATAACAAATTAATGACAAAGGATCATTAATGAAAGAACTAGATTCTTCAACCAAGTATCATTCTTGTGGTGAGTGCGAAATGTGTCGTTTGGAGCTTAGGTATTGTAAAATCTGCTCATAGAAAGCAATCTTTGAATTCGAACTGCCATTTTTTTTATTGATGATTACAAAAAATCTAATTCGACCAATTTCAATAGTTTCTGAAGTTGATTTATAGCGAACAAAATCACCACAATTAAATGAGTCTAAATTAAATAAAAATATATAGAGGTTATATCACTCTTTTTTTTTGGTTTTTTTTTTTTTGATGTAACTAAGGCTAAAATATGATTTAATATAAAAATGTATTAAAAAAAATTTTGGTTTGCTCAAATATGGGGATTTAATTGAAGTAATAAACAAGAAGAGATATAACCTAGCAGATTTACGACTGTATAAAATTGATGCATACCTTTTGTTATTGTTAAATTTGGTTGGCCAAAAAGAGGAAATTCAGCCCAGAGATCACCTTCTCACAATTCTTCACATGATTCTGAAAAGATGCCAGGTCCAAAATATAATTGGGAGCTAAGGGATGGATTTTTTAATATTCGTTGAAAGTGTTCTATTAAAGAAAAGTAGTAAACTCGAGTGCAATCTTTAATGGTGGACAGAGTATTTTTAATATTTATTGGGGCCATATGACTTTGAATTTTCATCAATGGTAGCTGTTCGCGCTGTTTTTTAAGACTTTGCAAATTTGTGGGTAGATGATTTATATTGAATTTAGGATGATATAAAATTTGTACTAAATTGTAGTAGGCCGCAGTTGCTATAAAAAAAAAAAAGATAAGTAATTTTTAATAATTATAGAATTAATCAAATCACAATACTTACAAGTCATATATTCAGTGACCCATATAAACATAGCAAGATTTGTAAAATTTTTAAAGGGCTCAAATGGGCATCCATAATTCCAACTCGAATTGTATTTTGTTCCATCAAATATCTTCGGTAAGTCATCTATATTAGTGAAGACCGATTCACTCTCATTATTTGAACTACAATCTGTATTAGTATTAAATTTATTTTTACTACTTAGATCTTCTGAATGATCATAAGTCAAGTCGTCAAATTCCTGTCTAAGTTCAGAATCTGTACCAAGTTCAGAATCTGTATTATATCTACATTCCGAATCTGTATTATATCCGTGTTCTGATCTGTATTATATTCATGTTTCAAATCTGTATTATATTTACCAGACTGGTCATTATTATAAATTTGGTCATCGTGATTAGGCCGTGGGTTATTATTATTAAGTTGTTGGTCATTATGGTTCAAACTGTTGA